CTGAAGACAAGACAACTGTGACAACCAGGAATATTTTATTAGTCTTAAATTTGATTAATTTTCATTAGGTATTCATTTAAATATCATCTTATTTTGAAAGACAATCATCTGTTACAATATTTTTGTTTTACTTTTTATACAACTAAACAGTAATTCAATCCAAATGCTGAGTTTGACATAAGACACAGTTCTATTATCTTAGGAACTCTGTGATGCTGATCTTCCGATAATTCTGGCATAGAAATATACAAATCATAGGTAAAATAACCATAGAAAAAATGACACACCTTATATAATAAAAAAAAAAATCCTTTTATAACTACTACTACAGACAAGTTACGAGAGGCACCTTGATAGTGACATATTTTAGAAATTACATCACTTCCATGTCTATGGTTCTCTGGCAAAGATAAGGAAACCTATGTAACAGAGGCTGAGAGCATGGACGTCACTTACTTGCAGGATTTGCCCAAAAAGCAATTGTTAATAGAAGTAGGAGCTGGGTTCTCGTAAATCCTATGGCCTCCAAGGAACCCATTACCGCTGTAGATTCTGAAGGATTGATGTAATGATTATTAAGGATACAGCCAATATTAAGGATACAACCGGCAAGTTAATATCATGGATACAGCCCATAAGATGGCATGATTATTAAGGACACAGTCAATATGTCAATATCGTAATGAATAAATGTTACTCGTTATTCTGCAAGGAATATGTCATGAATATTCCTACAAGTTGTCATGGGTTAGGTTTGTCATTTTGTTTCTTAACCTTTTATATATATATATATACAAGTATATGCACATTTTCCTAGTTTGTACCAAATGACCAGTACCTATATTAAATATAAACTACATACTATTGACTACTAATTGGAGATATGAAAAAACATATATATATATGTATATATATTAATAATGATGATGGTAATTAAATAGACATGATCCATAGAATGCGTGAATATTATGGACTGACTCTGACATAGTAACCCGGTAAAGGTATAAAATCCTAGAGCAAATCCTACCAACTTCTTACTGTGACCAAATACTACGAATATAGCCTTAGATTTTGACCTATAATTGCTCCATTTACTGGTGTCATTTGCCGAGTATTTATTTTGTTTATTTTGCTGTTTGTAGATTTAATCACCTTCCCCAAATATATAAGAAATTATTTTTGAATATGAACATGATCGGGAAAAAATAGAAAATACAGAAAGGTGCGTATCAAAATGCGGGGGGGGAGGGGTGAATGGAACAGCCATTGTATGGGAGAAAACCCGTCTGCTATTTCCTCTATCTTCTTTTCTCTTCTTTTATGGGGTTTCAGACCGTCTGCTAAGTCTCCTTCTTTATCCTTTTATAGGGTTTCTAACTGTCTACTATGTCTTCTTCTTTTTATTTTCTTATGGGATTTCAGACTGTCTGCCATGTTAAGTCAATGTGTAATTTTCGTCTGCTTTGGAGCGCGGGAAGTTTAAAGCGTTTAAAAGAAAGAAAAAAAGAAAAGAAAGAAAAAAAGAGGAGGGCTTTCACACATTCATTTAAGATCTAACAACGTCAATATGCAGTTATGCAGTATGGTGCTAATCAGTTATATTTAGGGAAGTAAAATCTCTCCATTGTATAGTTTTATTTAATTTTATCGATTTACTAAGCATAAATAATCGATATTTTTCTTCAACATTCGTGTTTGGTCATCTTTTAACTACATTGAAAGGCACAGAGAAAGAGCTGAAGTTATACTACATCATTCTAGACTATCTTACAATCCTAATTTACTTTTTTTTTTTAACTTCAAGTTGGTGGGATTAGTTCCGTCAACTCGAGCACGATTCCAAGCAATGAAGGTGAAGTAGAACTTTTGGCAACAGCGAAACGACATTGGCACATGGGTATCGCGAAGGCCCGGCGGTGTCGCGATCGAGGACTAGTGACACTTTAAGATGTCATGAGATGAGGGCAAGGCCATAAGATTAAATTCAAACCAGTGCCGGGACTTGGCTGGGAAACACGCTAGATCTGCCGATTCAAAATGATGAGTGACGAGTGGTAGGCTCTGAATGCGAAGAGTCTGCTCTCAAGACACTCTGCATTTGACTCCTTTTAATTTCTTTATTGTAATGCAATTTCAGCACTTTTTCGAAATTCCAGGAGCACTCTGCCAGTGTGTAGGTGCGCGAACGCACTTATACACGAAAGCAAACATACGCACGCTCTCTCTCTCTCTCTCTCTCTCTCTCTCTCTCTCTCTCTCTCTCTCTCTCTCTCTCTCTCTCTCTCTCTCTCTCTCTCTCTCTCTCTCTCTCTCTCTCTCTCTCTCATGCACACATACACTTACACACCCAACGATACACATGCATACTCACATGTACACCGATCCACACTCACAACTTGCATGCATGCAATGCAAATGCACAATCCAGTATGTGTCCATCCAGTTCTGATAAGGATATATAAAACAAATTAAATTCAGGATGTATGTATTCATATAAACGTTTGATAATAAAACTTTTTTTTCAAAAATAACAAAAACAATATAAACATTAATATCTGGAGGAAAAAAATAAAGGCACAGTTCATAGGCAAATATATTCTTAAGTTATTATAGGAAAATGGAAATACTTTAGGAAGCACTATAGCTTAGAAACAGTCTACAACTATAAATATACATTTTCAAAATATTAATGAGCTGATTTTAAGTCACAGATTCACCTATTTGAGGGTAAGGCCTTGAGGGACATCAACTAACATCAACAGTGATCTCACCTGGACTTGGCACAGAACCCAAGACAGACAGAGCCAAGGCAGTGGCATATTTAACAAATGAGTTCTCATTATTAAAATGAACTGTGCTTGTCATTTGAGAAGGGATTTTGAGGGCACAGTATTATGTAATTTTCATCTGCCAGTCTTCTGGGACATACACAGGCCATTTCTGGTTCTGACTGGCTGAGGATGCTCTGGCCTATCATCACAGAAAAAGGCACATATAGCTATAAGGCAAGCCTGCTATCTACATAAAGACACACCCATACACATAAGAAAGGCCAAATTCTTCTGATTTTAAAATGGTTTATGTACATTAAATGGCAAAGCCAGGTCTGTGAGATGCCTGAGGTTTCTTTTTCCTGATAAAATATGTCCTAAGCAAAACAAAATGCCTTACTACCTGTGGACAGGCACATATACATATCACATCACCATATATACATGCTGATATTTACAATCTCCATTTATTTCACCAAAAGAGGAGAAAATGCAGGTATAATGCAGTCAGCACACAATGTACTATATATCTGAAAGAAGTATATCCTAAAGAGAGATTATGCCTCCTTTGGCACTGTCAGTACTTTCAGGTACTTTGATGGACTAGATTGATAAGTATATCATAAGCCAATTTGTGACAATGCTGATAAATAAAACGAAGACTACCTCTGCCCTTAGGTGAGATAAATCACCAGACACTAACAGCTGGTCTGATGTCAGGTACAAAGCATTGAGTCTAGAATATAGTTATATGAACCATTGGCTTACCAGCCACACACTGGCTATTGCATTTTATGACTGCCCAACAACCTCTTACTCGGCAATATTGACAATACTACTAGCATGCCAGACAGAGTTTGCCAAGTGAGAGCACAGCATGCCTGACAGTGCAGACCCCAAAAATGAAGTAGAATACAAAGAGAAATAACTCTGATGACTATTACTTACTTATGTTTGTGGGTGACTTCCTGTATGTATGCATCTTTGTCTTTGTGTGTGTGGGGATAGGTGAATACAATTGATTTATTAGATCAATGAGTAGTAATATCAATTACTGTGCTAATGAATAAAGAGCCCTTTACACAGCTCTATAGTTTCACTAACACCTTAATCACTAATACCAATATATTATCTGAAACATACAATTAACTCTTCTTTCTCCACCTCTGACTCATTGGTACATGCAGGTTTCTCTTTATTAAATAATAATGATTATTACACAGAATATTTACTTCACTGTCAGCTTTCAGAGTGGACACCCTATACCTAAATACCTATAATCTCAATAATATTTATACATTAACTCACTGTCCTCTGCAGTTTTGTTTTGTGAATTTTAATTACATACAGATAACTCCACAAAAGCTTAATCACCTAGGAGTTAGTTAGTTGGCTTCACCTGATAATTTCTTAAATCTATGATATTTCCTTTCTAATATTATTTTCATCAGGTCAGATCTGGTAGGCCTAGTAACTGACTTATTATTGAATAAGCAATTCTGTTGTTCTCTGTGAGCAAATAGAATTTAAAAGCTAAAATTACAATGGACTGGGCATGTATGTACATGTCCTCCCAGCAGTGACAGGATAAATTTCTAAAAACAGTTCCAATTCTATATATAATCATACTCCATACAGTCTTGTGTTGGATTGAGGAATAGCCAACACTCATCTTTTCTTTGGAGAAAAAATGAGTGTTGAAGTCAGAACATTTTTATCTGCAATATACATACATATATATATATATATATATATATATATATATATATATATATATATATATATATATATATATATATATATAATTATATATAGAGATAGATAGATAGATAGATAGATAGATTTAATATCATATATGTTTAAAACTACAAAACATGTAAAGTAAGTATTAATTGTAAAATAATAAGAGTAAAAAACAGACTTGGCACGTTGGAGTATTACAGAATCCAAGGTGATACCGCTTTTTCTTTCCTTAGTCAATAATATTTAGCTACATTTCTTTATTTTGATACAATCACTTAAAGCAATTTATTAGGAAATGCATGGTTTAGAAGCATAGTTTAAAGACATAGTCCCCAAAACATGAAAGACAACAGAATTAGGGGAGAAAAAACACAATTCTGTTGTTCCAAGTTTATGTATAGGTTCTTCCAATATAGAAGGCTATGTGGTCCAGTGTCATGTTACTATATTACAGCAGGATAAAGTACACTTAAAACTCAATTTTTACCATATATAAAATGTCTTTTCTCTCTTTTTTCTTCTTTTATTCTAGAAAAAAAGTAAATCACTGTCACCTCAGTTACAGGACAGAGCATCAAGCTGTGATGCCATTTAAGGATTAAGAGGATATGGGGCTGAAGGTGTTTATGAAGGGTATGAAGGAGGCAAGGATGAAGGAGGATGTGCAGGCATGTCAGCAGGATATGGAGGAGGTGAGGATGAAGGTGCATATGGTGGATTATGTGTAGTGGCTGAATATGGTGGAGGTGGGAGAATAGGAGGCCATAATGGGGCTGAAGGATCTGCAGATGCTTCAGCAGGGGGTGCTGAAACATCAGGTAAGTAGGCATCATTATATGCATTAGAAGGAAAACCCTGTGATGATGGGTACTGAGAGTTGGCAGGGGTCTGAAAACCTAAAGGTTGTGTGGGTGGTTCTGCTGGTTTTGCTGGTATTTTTCCAAAGTCTGTTTCATCTGGTGTAACCCCAGTGCCCTCTTTTTCCTGTGACAAAAGTGGGGCAGTTGGTTCAGAGGATGTAACTGGAGCAAGAGGATATGAAGCTGTACTTGGTTGAACAAATGGAGCTGCTGGTGCATCATTATATGCATTAGAAGGAAAACCCTGTGATGATGGGTACTGAGAGTTGGCAGGGCTCTGAAAAGGTTGTGCAGGTGGCACCAATGGGTAAGATTCTGCTGGTATTTTTCCAAAGTCTGTTTCATCTGGAGTAACCATAGTGTCCTCTTTTTCCTGTGACAAAAGTGGGGCAGTTGGTCCAGAGGATGTAACTGGAGCAAGAGGATATGAAGCTGTACTTGGTTCAACAGATGGAGCTGCCGGTGCATTATCCTGGTACACCCGCTTTTTTGTGTGTCTATGGATGAATAATTTAGAAACCCTTAGTGCTTTTGATTTATAAATTGATTCAAAATCTAGTAGAAATTAAAATCAAGACTTTAGGGAGCGGCAAGTTTAAAAAAAAAATGTTGTGTGACATAGGCTCTCTCTCTCTCTCTCTCTCTCTCTCTCTCTCTCTCTCTCTCTCTCTCTCTCTCTCTCTCTCTCTCTCTCTCTCTCTATATATATATATACATAAATTTATATAGTTATATTTACACAGACACACACACACACACACAAAACATAAAGATAATAACAATAACTACTACAGTTGTAACAATGATAACAAAATAATAATGATAATAGTAATAATAATAATAATAATAATAATAATAATAATAATAATAATAATAATAACAATAAGAATCATAGCAATAATAATAATAATGATAATAATAATAATAATAATAATAATAATAATAATAATAATAATAATAATAATAATAATAATAATAATAATAATAATAACAACAACAATGATGATTGATGAATGGTGACTAATGACGACAATGATGACGATAGCAACAACAACAAAAATATCATAATAATAATAATAATAATAATAATAATAATAATAATAATAATGATAATAATAATAATAATAATAGTAATAATAATAACAATAACAATAACAATTACAAAAATAACAAGAAATGTAATCATGTAACAAATAAAATTAATTTAAAAACACACAAACACACTCACACCCACACCCACCCACCCACCCACCCACCCACCCACCCACACACACACACACACACACACACACACACACACACACACACACACACACACACACATATATATACACATATGTTATGCTTACCTCCTCCAAGTATTCCTTATTGTCCAGGTCCAAAATATTATGATTATCAAACCACCGAGTATGCCAACAAGCAAAGGTCCTGTTGATGATACCGATTCACCACAGTCACATGCCAGCATATCTTTCTTGTATATACAGGGGCTGAAGGTAAAAGGAAAAAAAACACAAACAATGAACCCAAAAAATAATCAACAATGCCTATAAACAGGAAATAAAACTCAGCTAGAATAAAACAGGAAAAATATAATGTAATGTTTACCTGGGACAGGAACACGCATAATTTCTACACTCTAAGCCTTCGGTACAATGAGAGGTCTTCTTGCAATATTCACCATGTAGGACCACGTACTCTGTGAAAAATTGATTGTTTTATTTTCTTCTACAACAATAAAAAAATAAATAAATAAATAAAACTAACAAGAACTATTAAGATATAGCAATTAAGACATAGCAAACTGTTTCAAAAATATTTTAGTTCACTATAAAAATAAAAAGTCACACTATCTGAAGATATGGATATTTGCTATAAAGATAACTCACTCGTAAGGTTATTATCACGCAGGAAATCAGCTTCAGGTTCACACCGCCCACTTTTTATATTAGGGAGATAAGTACTGGAAAAAAAAATAAAAAAATCTCTTATCACTTAAAACTTTATGTCATAATTATCTATTAGATCCCACAAATCTTTTGTTCTACTTATGTATAATCTAAATTTACAATTTCTGAAAAAGTCTTTCTGCATTTTTTTTCAATATATGTCATATTCAAATAAGGAAAGAACGGATTTTTTTTTTTTTTCTAAATGTATGTATGTATATATATGTATGTGTGTGTGTGTGTGTGTGTGTGTGTGTGTGTGTGTGTGTGTGTGTGTGTGTGTGTGTGTGTGTGTGTGTGTGTGTGTGTGTGTGTGTGTGTGTGTGTGTGTGTGTGTGTGTGTGTGTGCACTCATGTGCACATGCGTGTGCATATATAAACATGTACATATACATACATAAATACATATATATACATATATATACATATATACAAATATATGTACATATATAATGTGTGTATATATTTATGTTTATGTATATATATATATATATATACATGTGAGCATAATATAATATATATATATAATATATATAATAAATATATACATATATATATAAATATAAATAAATCTATAAATATATATATACATATATATATACATGTGTGTGTGTGTATGTACACACACACACACACACACACACACACACACACACACACACACACACACACACACACACACACACACACACACACACACACACGCACACACACACACACATATACATAGACCTATAGATTGATAAATAGACAGATAGATACAGCTAGAGATATACATAGATATCAAGAAAGCAATATATAAAGTTAAACTTACTCAAAGCACACACATTTCTTTTCTCCACAAAAGCTATGTTGGTTAAGGTCACAGACATATGCAGAACCATTTTGTATATGGCAGGGCTCCATGACTTTCTGGTACAATACTGCAGATTGTAAACAACAAAGACAGCCATTATATATTTTAAGCCATAAAAGAAAAATAAAGAAATTGATATAAATAAAAAAAAATCTTACTTGTATGTCTCATTTAGAATTACTTTTGGCATGCAACTTTTATCATAAATCAGATTTAATATATACTAATTTACTTGATATAAGTACACATTAAAGCATCTACTCAATTTCACACAAGAAACTAGCAGTTGCTTGAATTTGATTTACAGCTGCAGACAAAATATAATCAATACATTTCTTATATTGGGAAGATATTCATTCTAATTCATACATTTTCAAGATTAAGTCATGAATACTTAGGAATTGATTTCAGCTATCTATATGCAGGCAAAATTAATAAGACAAAACCATAATGGACAGAACAAGTGTACATGCATATATATATGATTCACTGATCATTATCTGTGTATTATTTTATGGTATGTGAAATCATGTTAACCTGTAAGTTTCATGAGAATTGAGAAAATACAGTAGTCAATGTTTTCAAGACTCAGCAAATTGCCATGAAAGTATTAACTATGCTAAATTTGGAACTGACCAACAAAATAAAGTATCTATTTTACATGCATTTGAATAACATTTTAGTAAGATATCATCCTTACCTTTTACACAATTACTGCCAACAAACTCATACCCATCATTGCAATGACATCTTCCTGTTTTTAAACACTTGCTATTTGGAGGACATTCCTTCACTCCAATGGTATGTGTATTTGAACAATGCGCTGTTTTTACTGTAAAATACAAAGAATTCCAAATTACAGTCAAATAGCCAACTTTCAGCATACTTGTGTGTTCATATTAACATACACATGAATGTTTGTGTGTTTTTATGTTTATATATTAAATATTATATATACACCATTTACTATATATTATATATCATATACAGTAGAATCAATCTATTTATATACATATACATGTACATATATTATATAAATATATTTATATATTTATTTATATATACATATATATATATATATATATATATATATATATATATATATATATATATATATATATATATACACGTATATATGTATATATATTTGCTGGTTACTGGAGAAGGAATATCAACATAGAGAAAAGTATCATTAGCATGTGCCAAAATTTTATTAGTAATCCTGGGCCCCATATCGAGAACAAAGAGACATGAACACTACCCTAAGGAATCCCACAATACACACAGGAATATGGGCTAAAACTATTATCAACACGATCATTGCTCTTTACCAGTTAAAAATTCAGACAAAATACAGAAAACTTGCCCACCAACAACTACAGACAATTTATAAATCAAACCCTTAAACTTAAGCTTCAACTGAATTTCATGACCCAATATAAGCAGTGTATCATTGCAGTCAAGAGAACAAGACAAGAAGACTACCACTGCACCACCCAGTATAAAGAGAGAGAGAGAGAGAGAGAGAGAGAGAGAGAGAGAGAGAGAGAGAGAGAGAGAGAGAGAGAGAGAGAGAGAGAGAGAGAGAGAGAGAGAGAGAGAGAGAGAGAGACAGACAGACAGACAAAGAGAGAGGATTAGCAGATTCTAAACTTTGCTTATCATTAGCACAATATCTACTCAGCTTTCAAAACCAAAAATAATCTAACCCAAACATCATATTTACATAAATCAAAGCTCAATAAATGTATGGCAGAGGATAACAAGTGGATTTGAACTTACAGTACAAGAATGTGTCACACTCAGGAGCAAAGGAATATT